AAGGGAGCTGCATTCGGCTCCCATCTCTCCAGCAAGAGCTCCTGGGAGGAGCAGTGGTGCATTATTAAATAGAAAACAATCAGCCCCCGTTACTGCCCTGAGAGTGCGCTTGGTCTGGTAAAGTCATAGACACATAAATAGACCATGACAACCCAGTGTGATCAGAAATATGACACAGGGCAGTACAGGAAGTTCATGGTTTGGAAAAGAGGCCGCTGAGCCAGCCAGGACCATGAGGCCTCACAGAGGAGGTGATATTTTGAGTTGAGTTTGGCAGAAGCACAGGCCAGGTCAGGGATTGCCATGGTCTAGGCAGGATGAAGTTGCAAGGTGGTGGGTTTGGCTGGCAGGCTATGGAGTCATCTTCCCTAATGGAAGATGTGCTGGCTGGGAGTCAGGACACTGGGTTCAGGACCTGTACTTCTAGTATAAATTTGTTGGTTGACCTTGGAAAGACGTTCTGTATTTCTGGGCTTCAGAATCAGCAAATGCTCCCACTGTTTGATGGAAGTGAGGAAGAGAAGTTTTGGTAAAATGGCACTCAGTGGCTTTGAGTTTTAGCCCCTCAAATGCCACCTCAGCCTAATTCAGTGATATTTAATCCATAGTTGACTTTTCTGAGCCATAATGACATTCAGGGAAATATAGCTAGCATCTGTTTTGGGTTTAGAAAAACACAGCGGTGGGCTTGGCAGTTGGGTGTGGTTAACAGGGTTAACCCTCTTCCACAGAGGTGCAGGGGTTTTGGTTTCCTGCCTGGGGAATGGGGCCGACCCTTAGAACTCTCTTTCAAGGGGGCATTCACAATAGAGTGACTGTCCCATGTATCGTTTAGAAAGACACTTTACCAGCCTTCACTCTCTAGTGAAGAACCAGGCCACATGCTTAAGAGAAAAAACCAAACAAACAAACTCTGGAATGTGGAGATCAGGCAGTGAAATGGCACTAGCAGCAAAGAAATGTGGAAGGGAAGAGAATCTGTGCCTCAATCTCTCGCCTCATGAAAACCTCAGCTTCCCAATTCTCCAGATTAGAGAAGAAAGGATTGATGGAGAGAGGGTTGGACTCCAGTCCTGGACCCATGACTGACTGGCCACAGGAGCTTGGGCAGAGCCTTAAACATTTTTTTGTCATTTGTCCATTTTTGTAAGGGAAAAAGCTGACTGGACATTTTCAGGTTTGACATTTTTGCAATTGAGTGCCATGACAGGTATTTTATGGGAGCTAAGAGAAATGGGAGAGTTCTGAAAAAATCAGGGAGGCAGTAATCTCAAAATCATCGGTACTAAAGAGGCAATGATACCCATGTGCACACAGGCTCGCTCCTGGCTTGTTTATTCAGGAGAACATCCAAAATAGCAGAGAAGTCCTATTCTTCCTCAGTTAGAGACCCCCAGATCTGTGGGTCCATAAGGGGAAGCAACTTCTTAGGTGGGGCTTTGGCCTTTGGGCTCTTGTCACAACACTGTGTTATTCTCTAGTGCTGCCCCAGCAAACTTCCAGCTGCCAGCACTCTAGTGACGATGGCTCCTAAGTCTACATTACTATAGTACCTACCTATCTGTGGCAAGGGAAGCCTAGTCATGAAATGGTCAATTGGAAACACCTGCTGAATGACAGTAGCAGCCAGGAGGAAGGAAAAACCACAGTATCACATAAGGATGCCCTTCCATCAAGGGGAAATTGGGCATTCTATGTAACGTGGCCGACAATACACCTGTAACTTAGACTCCAATCAGAAGTGACTCCTCCCACAAAAAGCATCCTCTGCTGTTCCTTTTATTGTAACGTGACAACAGTCACATACTAGAGGCAAGCAATATATTCAGTTGTATGTGTTTAAGGAACACAGAAAAATAAAGCCCACAAATGTTAGGCATAGATATGGCTATTTAGAGATCAGCTACAGATATAGCTAGATAAATAGCACATTTCCAGCAACCTAGAAGCCGCTCTGCCCCAGACCCAACCAATCCTCGACCACAGGGTAGCTGCTGTTGCTACCACCATCATCATGGATGAACTTTTTCTGTTTTTGATCTTCACCTACATGGAATCATGTAGCATGCAATCATTGGGTCCGGTTTCTCTTATTCCATATTATGACTGTGAGCTGTATATATTAAGTCGCATGTAACAGTGGCTCATCAGTTTTCATAGCCATTTAGTACCTCATCGTATGACTGTACTACCATCTGTCCATTTTACTGTCATGGATATTTGGGCTGTTTCATTTGGGAACTGTAAGTAAAGGCTGGTAGGTACATTTTCTATTAAGGCAAAATTTATGACATAAAAATTACCATTTTAAACTATGCCAATTAATGACTTTTAGTACATTACACAATGTTGTACACTCATTACATCTATCAAATTCCAATACATTTTCATTACTCCTATATCCCTTAAGCAGTGCCCCCTGCACCCTGCAACCCCCATTTTTTAGTTTGGCAATCACTAATCATTCTGCCTCTATAGAGGCCTATTCTGGACATATTCTATAAATGGAATCATACAATATGTGCTCTTTATATTTGGCTTCTTTCATTCAGCATAATGTTTAAAAGATTCATCCATGTCTTTTCCTTTTATGACTGAGTAATATTCATGGACAAACCACATTTTGTTTTTCCATTCATCCATTGATGAATATTTTAATATTATACTTTTTGACTAACATATAATTCTGCAATGAACATTCATGTACAAGTTTTTGTGTGACACATTTTCAATTTTGGGGGTGTATTTTTAGGGCTATGGACATAGCACTCATTTTCCTTGGCTATGTGTCCAGTAGCAGGATTGCTGAGTCACAAGTTCTAGGAGGTTTTGCCAAATCATTATGCAGAGTGGTTTACCAGTTACCAGCAATGTGTGAGAGCACTCACTAATCACTCCTAATTTCACTAACACTTTGAAGCTCTTCACATATTAGCGATCCTGGTGAGTATGTAGTGTTATCATTACGTTTTAATTTACATTTCTATGAAGGCTACAGATGTTGATCACTTTTTCCTGTGCTTATTCACCATTTGGATGGTCTCTTTGAGGTACCTGCCTAGTTAAGTCTTTCTCCCACTTTTCTGTTAGTTCATCTGTTCCTTTCTTATTGCTTGTGGGAGATTTGTATATATGCTGTATACATGCCCTTTGATATATGCATTGAGAATATTTTCTCCCATCCAAGATCTTACCTTCTCACTTTGGGTTGTATGTGTGTGCAGTTTTATTTATTTGTTCATTTATTTGGTACTAGGAATTGAACCCAGAGGCATTTTACCACTGAGTCACATCCCTAGCTCTTTTTATTTTTTATTTTGAAACAGGGTTTCGTTAAGTTGTTTAGGGCCTTTTTAAGTTTCTGAGGCTGCCTTTGAACTTTTGATCCTCCTGCCTCAGTCTCCTGAGCTACAGGAATATAGGCATGTGTCATCACATCTGGCATTGTATTTTAATTGACATAAAATCTACCATAGAAGATAATGCACAGATTTAGGTATAATTCAATGTGGTTTCATAAATATAAACAAACATCCATGTAACCACCACTCAACTCAATATATAGAACATTTCCATCACTTCAGAAAGTGTACTCTGACCACCTTCTTGTCAATCCTCACCCCTGTAAGCAATCACTGTATTGACTTATGATACCATAGATGAGTTTTGCCTGTCAGTTAATACCAGTTAAATTGCACAGCATGCACTCTTTATCACTTTCTGGTACTTTAATATTTTCCACTGATCTATTTTTCAGGTCTCTAATGTGTCTTCCATTATGTTCAGTTTGCTACTAATGTTTATCCAATGAATTCTTAATTTCAAATATTGGATATTTTTATTCTAGAATGTTTGACTTTTAAAAATAGAATTCACTCTTCTGTTGAAATTCTCTATTTTAAAGTCCATTTTGCCAACATTTTCTTCTATTTTCTTTAAACATAGTTATACCAAAGTCCTTGTTTGCTAACTCAGGTATCTGGATCATTTGTTTGTCAACTTTTATATTATGTTTTTTCTCTTAACTCTTGGTCACGCTTTCCTTCCTTTTGCATATCTAATAATTTTTATTGTGGGTAGAATGTTATGTTAAATTCATGGAGATCCTACATGACATGTCTCACCAGATATATTTTCCCTTTTCTCTATTAGGCAGGTTGAGTAAGGAGCTTATCACCTTGATGCTTGAGTTAGGTCAGGCTGGGTTTTAGTTCTAGTAGGGTTTACTAAATTTGGTCTGTTTCTGTTCCCAGGCATGACTGTCCTGTATTTTGAATTGATAACATTATTGATCTGTCCCCTCAGCCCTGAAAGACTAGTAGATTTGTTTCTTCCTTTGGAGGGTTTGAGTAGCTCCTTGGCTGCCCTTTACTCCCTCCATGGCATCCACCCCCATTCACATAGCTTCAATGCTTGGGGAATCTTTTGAAGGGTATAATAGTGTGTTTGAGGCAAGCCCTCTTTTATTTTTTATTTTTTAAATGATTTAGCTACTTTCATTTTTCTCACTAGTCTTTTAAGCATCACAAAAACATGAGAGATTTTGTTTTTATAGAAGCCCTTTAGCTCTCCAGCTTCCCTTGCATAGCTCCAGAATTCAGATGGCCCATTTGAATTTCTAATCTATTTTGCAAGACTCTCTTTGACTGATAAAAGGTTTGCTTCTTTCTCTCTCTGCTCTGTCCAAGTTCAAAACCCATGATGGCCCTCAAACCAGACATTTCCAGAGAAACAAAGAGCTGGTGATTGTTGCTGCTGAAAAAATTTTACAAATGGATTTCAATGAAATTTTAGTGAATGGATCCTTTCACCAGTCCCAGTTTGCTCCCCCAAATTGGTTTTGCTATGTCCAACGGCACTCTTGCAAGAACAAGTAGTGATTGTTAATTTGCTTTGGAGCCCCTCAGGTCCCAACCTGAAGAGTTCAGTTTTATTCTTAATGCACTTAGGTTTCTTCAATTTATTTAAAAATGTGATTTGTGTAATTTATCCAGGTTTTCCTAGTTGTCGCAGTGGGAAAGTTCAGCTACCATGGCCTGTAACATCCTTGGCAGTAGCAGAAGTTCAGACACCCAGATTAAATGGAGTCAGGAAGGACCAAAACGCAAAGAACACAGAGAAGGGAGAAGCTTACCAAGTATCTGAGCAGCATATTACAGTGAACCTTGGACACAGGAACCCCTCCAAAGACACATGGTGGATCTTGAAGTGAGTGCAAAAGTCAAGACACAAGCTTAATGACTTGATTCAAGAGATCTCACAACACAAAACCATGCATCATGCAACCTAAGATGGGAACCAGAAAGTCTTCCCAAAGAATTCAGTCATGATTAAATATCCAACTATTTAGGTCTGGTTTCCCAGTAAAATGTAAACTCTCAGAAAACAGGAATTTTGCCTTTCTTCTTCACCTTCAGCATGCTTACCTACACACATCATAAAGCCTTCTATCTACTAGATCATTAATTAATAATTAATATTTGACAAATTCTGGATTCACATGATAGAAATCACAGCCCACCCTCAGCCCTCAAGAGTTGGTTATAAATAATTGTGCTCATGTTAACTACAGAGTAAACATTACAGAATTATCATTTGAAAATCTTTTGTTGCTGTGATTTCCAGATGTTCTCAGTGTCCAGATATTCCAGCTGTCCATCTCCCAGAAATCCAGCTCTGTCTCACTATGGAGGCCACAACCTGTAACGGCTCAGTGGACAGCACCCCCGTCTTCTACCTGGTGGGCATCCCCTCTCTACCAGAGTTCTTCTTCCTCCCCATGTTCTTTATTTTCCTCCTGTTCTACCTTCTCATTCTCACAGGTAATGCCCTGATCCTGGTGGCCGTGGTGGCAGAGCCAAACCTTCACAAGCCCATGTACTTCTTTCTGATCAACCTCTCAGCCTTAGATATTCTTTTCACCACAACTACTGTCCCCAAGATGCTGTCCCTCTTCCTGCTTGGGGACCACTTCCTCAGCTTTCCTTCCTGCTTACTGCAGATGTACCTCTTTCAAAGCTTTACATGCTCAGAAGCCTTCCTCCTGGTGGTCATGGCCTATGACCGCTACGTGGCTATCTGCCGCCCACTGCACTACCCCGTCCACATGACCCCACAGACTAATGCTGCACTGGCGGCCAGTGCCTGGTTCACTGCCCTCCTCCTGCCCGTCCCAGCGGTGGTAAAGACTTCCCAGATGGCATATAACAACATTGCCTACATCTATCACTGCTTCTGTGACCACTTTGCTCTAGTCCAGGCCTCCTGCTCCGACACCACCCCACAGACCCTCATGGGCTTCTGCATCGCCATGGTGGTCTCCTTCCTCCCCCTTCTCCTGGTGCTTCT